GGTGAGCAGGGGTGATGTTGGGGTGGGGGGCCTGTGGTATGGATGTGGGATTTGGGGGTTCCTTGGAGTGCTTGAGGAGTGTAAGGGGGAGTAGGACTTGGGACTGAGGAGGGCTTGGCTTGGGAAGTCTTGAGGTGAGCTGGGATAGCATGAGGGTTTGGGACCGGTGGGATGGGAGTAAGATTTGGGGGTGTCTGGGTGCTTGAGGGGTGTATGGGGGAGACTTGTCAGTATGAAAGAGTGCCCTGGTGAGGGGGGTGGCTTTCAAGGTGTCTGGGTTTATTGAAGAGTGTGGGAAAGGGGTGCTTTTGGGGGTTTTGGGATGCTTAATGTTGGGGAGAAGAGAAGTGAATAGAGGTTAGGCACGTGTAATATGGTGAGTGGAAGAGAATGGGTATGGGAAGGGTCGTTAGTTATGCGGGCTGGTGAAGGTATGGAGATGAGCTGGTGGGATCTTAGGAGGCTTCAGGGTACATGGTGGGGGTGGGTGCATATTCGGGAGCAGATAAGGTGGCTTGATGTTTCTGAGAGATTAATGGAGGAGGAGAGCTTCAGAGCCTTGCAGAGTTGTTACGGTGTGGTTTGGGCGAGAGTTAGGAGGACTGTCCAGTGAGGCAGTGCGGTTGATGGGGAAGCTGAATGTTGGGGTTTGAGTTTTGTGTAACAACGCGTTATTTCTGGCAATTCATAGGAGTATGAGTGGACAGATTTGTGATGGTAAGGGTTTTCTACATGCTTCCCTTTGGGGATAAGAGTAAAGCCTGTAGGCCCTTGATATCCACAAATCCTGTTTTAAAAGTTGAGATAGCATCATGCTTTCAAATTGTTTTTATGCACTGCTAAATTTGGAGAGTGGCTCTTGTTGCGCTGTAGGTCTGTGATGATCGGTGCTTGGTCAGCACTGCTGTGAGCATTGAGGGGGAGCAGTTGGGAATGAGCAGATGGATACAGTTACTGCAACCTTAGAAGATGAGAAATTTAACAGCATTTCAGATTTGCTTTTTTATATATGTGAGAAGAGGATAAAATCCACCTCGTGATCCTGCAGAGAAGTAGTAACTCTCCCTCGTAAACCATGTCTCAGTTCCTTTTCTCTTCTCGTTGGTGGAGGCTGAAACCAGCACTTGAACTGCAGCTCTATTAAATGTTTTATGTTTGATGGAGTCAACCTGAATCACTTTCGTATTCTGGCATCCCACCTGTATCTGTCTGTGACTGCCTCTGAAGCTTACCCGCCTGAGGAAAGATGCATTAGGTGCAGTAGTTAACGATCATGTATCACGCTATCGCGTGTCCAGAGAACTTCAGACTGCTTCAGGAGCCTCCTGGACCATGGTAACATTCACTAAAGCTTTCTGCCCTTCCTTCAGCAGG